CAACAACTTTGCTGTTGATTATTTTTGTGTAGGTCAAAGGTCAAGGTCACTAATTAGCAAATTTCACTTTCAAACGCAATTTTCGCAAAGAAGCACACCTCGGATTTTTTTCGTGATATACAAAAAAATGTAGCCCTAAGTGTGTAGAACAAAATACTTGATTTCCAGATTGGTAACTTTTTCTGTTTAATTGATATTTTTAATTGAATATAAAAAACAGTGAAAAATCACTTTTCCGCAAACGAAATTAATTTTCAAACAGCGATAATTTTTTTTCTGTTAGAGATACGCAAAAACTTGTAAGTACAAAAAGTGTTTCTAATGACCTAACCTATCGAACCATGTATCGATCATGTAGGTCGAGTCACTTAAGGTCATTGACCTCAGTGACCTGTGACCTTGAAAAACGATATTGCAAAAAATTGGAAACGTTTCAAAAAAGGCGCACTCTTTTTCATTATTTAATGAACTAATATTTTGCAATATCGTTTTTCAAGGTCACAGGTCACTGAGGTCAATGACCTTAAGTGACTCGACCTACATGATCGATACATGGTTCGATAGGTTAGGTCATTAGAAACACTTTTTGTACTTACAAGTTTTTGCGTATCTCTAACAGAAAAAAAATTATCGCTGTTTGAAAATTAATTTCGTTTGCGGAAAAGTGATTTTTCACTGTTTTTTTATATTCAATTAAAAATATCAATTAAACAGAAAAAGTTACCAATCTGGAAATCAAGTATTTTGTTCTACACACTTAGGGCTACATTTTTTTGTATATCACGAAAAAAATCCGAGGTGTGCTTCTTTGCGAAAATTGCGTTTGAAAGTGAAATTTGCTAATTAGTGACCTTGACCTTTGACCTACACAAAAATAATCAACAGCAAAGTTGTTGGGCGTGAAAAGTTACGTCTGGTAGTGAAAAGAGCATTCATATATTCTCATTTTTAGCAAAGATATTCAACATTTTCTGTTTTTGGAAAAATCCGATTTCCCGGAAAAGCGCACCATATTTTAAGCTGAAAATTTAGGAGAAGCTACCTTTCAACAACCCCAACAACATATGTGAAAATCAAAATGGTAACTTTTCACTGCCAATTACACCTCATCCTTTCCCGATTTCACCCGAAGACCAAGAAGACCAGAGAAAATTTTAAAATTTAATTAAAAGGAAAGTTTTTAAAAAAACTCCTCAATTATAGATTTTTTTTTTAATTTTACATTTTATCAATTTTCATCTCTCTAAATCTCAAAATTAAGAACTGGAATGAAATAAAAGTTAAATATTTTGTTTGATAATTACTTTTTACATGTTTCCTTGTTCGCCCACACTAATTGTAAAAGGCCTGATGAGATAATTCAATTCTGCGCCCCTAATCGCATTCCTTATATTTCTCCTTTACTTTTTTTCCTCTCTCTTTCTCCTGCCTGATGAAAAAGCTCTTCGTCAGACGTCTGTTACTGGTTTCTGTTTTGTTTCTTGACTTGGTCAGCTAATAATTTTATTCATCGAGCAGATGCTGCCTCATGATTGTTTTTTGGTCACTGCTGCCGCCGGTCGCTCCGGCCGACCAGGCAGAGCAAAACAAACACCGCTTGGAATGGTGGTTCGGAATTATGCATGAGCGGAACGGGGAGAAAAACGATTTTCCGCAGCCTCGTCATAATTTTATCATTTGTTATGAAAGGCCAGTGGCTGCTGCTGTTTTATTATGATCGAGGCTCATTTGTCTGCGAGAAAAGACATAACTCACGCAATAGAGGATATACCTGAGCGCACTGAAAGAAGTTCTTCAGAATTGTGTAAAATTGATGACAAAAAAAAAAAAAAATGTTGCGTTAGACAAAAACTGTGTCCTTTTGAGACATCCTTTTGACTCAATGGACCCACATCAGCTAGACGAGGTGGACCTTTTTTGATAATAATAATTTATTTCTTTTCGTGCCTCCCACTGATTCCGGATTTTTGATAGAAGTTCAGTAAAACTTTAAAAGGGGGAAAATATAAACAAATAATATGGAAACCATGGTTTGAGCAACGAGAAGAGGATGAAAGCAAATTGGTTTTTATTTATCATTAATTTAATTCTTAACGTAATAACAAGATTTTTTTCAATTTGACAATTTAATTAAAAAATATTGTATTCACTTGCATCAAATTAAAAGAATAGAAATAAAAAATGAAAAATAATTAATTAAAATAACAAACACACAATATTGCAGCATTGAAATCCCTTTAATCGATCAAAATCTGAACTTCCCCAACACTTTTCAGCTTTGTTCATCATAATCATAAGGATCATGTATTATGGAAATGCCAATGATTTTTTTTTGTAATGATTTTTTTACAAAAGTTGAGCCCAAATAAAAAATAAAGAATAAATTGGGTGGTTCCCAAAACTCACTCTTGGGCTGGCCCTAAAAATTAAATTAAAAACTTTTTCTGTTCGAGAACATGACGATTTTTGTCTGCTAAACCTTTTTACTCTATAGTTGCAAAAAATACTCTTTGCTTTTTAATAATAAAAAATTAATTATTAATTAATTTTAAAATTAATTATTAATTAATTTTTTCGCACACTTGTTGTTAGAACGAGAATTCCACCTTGCACGTAAGCAAGAGTTCTTGGGCCAGCAGAAAAGCAAGGGTTAAAAAACTTTGCGTCCCGACTGAGCTAATTATCATCGATTGGGATCCAAGCGCGGACGTGAATGCGATTGGCGCCATATCGACATCATTCCTGGGATGCTTCGCCGGGCAGTCGGCGGACGGATCAGCGGCACCCAGCAGGGTTTCCGATAATTGGCCGCGAGCAGGGCGACGGCGTGTTCAAACGAAAGAGTTGGCCGAACGAGGCAAGGGCGTGGTGTCGACGCCGCCGAAACGCCTAATCAATAATTTCCTTCTCTCTTCACATGCCGGCGCATAATAATTCATCTCGTTTGTTTGTTCAATTGGAATATTATTTTGTTGTGATAAGAAGGCGCCGACCGCGGCCGGCCGACGGCACTTGATTATGAATGTTTCAATTTCGCTAATGAGCGTCGGTTTGCTTTGCTGGGGTGATATGTGCGGCCAATTATAACGAGCAGAGAAGAACGCTTTCAGCGATTCGATGAGAAAACGAACGCGGCATTCCCGAGACAGACTCATCTCAAACAACGTACACACATATTTATGCTTGTTAAAAGATTTAATGCGTTCTCAGGCGGACACGAGAAGAGAGCCGGCGTGATTCGGCTAATGTCAAATTATTACTGATTGATTTTCAATACCGTGCGCCAATATATGAAAAATAAAATATACATTACAACCACTAATATTGCTAATTAAAAAAAATTATTCATTTTAAAATTCAATAAAAATAAAAAATAAAAATAGGATTGTCTGCAGTTTAGTTTTTTTTTAAATCTTCAAACAACTTGGGAATTGATAAACTATTTATGTGTAAATTCCAATTTATTAATATCGCCAATAAATCATAGAATATGGTTTAATTACACCAAATTATTTTAAATAATTTTCTTCTTTCAACATAGGATGCTCTCTCTTGTAAAAGTTAGGTTCGCAGTTTAAAACGATTTCACAAAAATCATATTAAATAAACCATAAATATGACTTCCAGGTATTTTAATAAATTTTAGGTAATGCAAATGAAATTTAAACTCTTCTCGTTGTTTTTAAATAAAAAAGCGAGTTTTAAGCAGTCAAAATTTTCCAAATTCCCTCAACATTATCGACATAAATTAGAAGTGAGGTGCAGTGTGGCGAGTTATGTACAGATATTACTTTTTTACAGCCGGCCCGCGGTATTAATTTCAATTCGAACCTGATACTTTGTCTTACAGATCGATATCAGGGGTCAGCAGTCGGAGGGAAAAGGATGTTGCAGGTTGCCCGGCGTAAATGATGACGCCGTGTGTGTACGAGAGAGAGATAGGCTCAGTTACGTCACTGCTGGTTAGGCAGGTAGGTAATACCTGGCCGAGCCAGTGGGGAGTCTTTTCTTAAACAAACACACACGCGGGCATTAAAAAAAGCAGCTCTACCTTTAGGCTGATACGGCCGTAAATCAAATTTTACAAGGACCATCTGCATAGAGTTGGACCAACATCGTTTAAGAATCAATTTTGCTTTTCAGCCAACATGTGTAAATAAACGTTCCGGACGGGAATATTATTCGAAAAACCACGTAATAAACGATGAAGATTTTATCTGCCAGCAATAAATTAAGCGCACGAAATTCGCAATAAAATCGTCCCGAGCGAAAATTTCTTTCCCCGGCAACGTTTATGGTCCATATTTCAGCGCTTGCTCCACTTTGCGCCGAGGTGTGCTTCTTACATGGCTAATGAGTTTATTAGCTCTAGTTGTCAGCATCGAAATCGCCGGCCGTTAAGTGCGGAATTTACGTCCCAAAATGACCTCGTATTATTTCTTTCTTTTAATTGGGCATTAAAAAAGGCACAGCGATGAAATCTGAGGAAACGTTCCTCCGTCCGGCTGTAATCCAAACGTCCCACCTTCGAACTCGCACGTGGGCGCTACAAAACTGACTTGCCCACCCTCTTTTTATAGTCGCTGCTACACATCTTGATCGTAGCAACTCGAAACTTTATTTTTTACTTAATGAGAAATTTCGTGCCAAATTATTACTCAAACACCTACTCAGGTGTTTGGTATATTCAGCAATGAGAAGAAAATCAACTTTGGAAAAAATATTCACTCTTCGTTAATCATTCTTGACTTCTTGCATCGGATAATTAATTATGCTTTCGGTAAATAGTCGCCAAAAAGCTAATTTAAAACGCGCTCCTGGAATTCGACGGCGCCGTCGCTCATGCTTTGTCGGCCGCCCAACTCTAATTACAGGTAGCCATCGTCTGCTCGGCTTAATTAAATATTTAAATTGCTTTGCCCGACTCTATTAGCGGCGGTAAACAAACAGACAAACAGGCTGGACGTGTAATAAACGGCGGCATGCAAAATGGTACTCACCTCAGCATCCAACTTCTTGAACTCAGGGTCGTCCTCGTCTACCTCGAAGTAAAGCTCGGTGCTGGTTATCGACACCATGCCAGAGGAAACTATGCCCGGAGCAACCAGTTTTGCTTTTGTGCTTATGTTGATCGGACCTAGTAGACACAAAAAGCAAAATTTTTAACATAAAGTAGCAAATAATGAAAATCGATTTACTTTATTTTTTAATAAAAAATTAAATTGAAGAAAATTAAACTAATAAAAATTTTTTTAGTAAAAAATAGAAGCAAAAAATTGAGCTTACCAGTGAGATCACAATCTAAGTCTCGGTCATCAGCTGCCAGTTCGGAGTCATCAAGCAAGTCTGATGATGTGAGAGTTTGCTGCTGCGATCTAGAGATGGCCAGGTGAGCGTGAAATTCTTCCCTGGCCTGCAGGATCGCATCCTCGGGGGCGCCGTGTTCGAGGGCAGCTTTCAATGTGGCCTCGGGGTGACTCGAGCCTAATGGGTTGTGCACCAACCGCTTCCTGCGCCTGGCGTCGTCCTCCCAAACGTCCAACTTCCAGTACTCACTCTGCCTGGCCTGCTTGGGGTCCATGAAACCCCACGCTCCGTGCTTGTTGGACAAAATGTTGACCACCTTTTCAAGCAGTCGGCTGGCAATCACATTGTCCCTGCGCCGGGCAGCGGTGATCAGGTGATCACACATTTTCTCTTCCTCGCGCCTGTCCACCAACGTCTGGGCGCACTGAGACTATTTAAACACAACAAAATATTTGTTAATAACTACAAATAAACATTGACCAATTTCACAGTTACAATTAGAAAAAGTATTATTTACAAAAAATGCCAAAGTTGACGCTTTATAGTATAATTTTATAAAAACGCTAGGCATTTATTTATTTGTAAATATTCATTTTACAGTAAATTTAATAAACTTTTCTATTACATTAAAATAATTATCAAGCTTCTTTTTTATTAATCAATACTTGCATTATATTCTTTTGACACAGTATTTTACTAATTTATGGATATATCTGATCATGTTAATTTTACCTCAAAATCAGCATGCTTCAACACATCGTCAGCCCTCATTCTGTTTAGAATGAACTCTGCCTCATTGGCGACCCTAACAATGTGGTCCTTCATGGCGTGTGAAAGAAGTCGGCCTTCGTTGATAAGCTCGATGAACGCCAAGCCGGCGTGTTTCTGCAAAGAGTTTTGCCACTCTTGCGAGCACAGCAGCATAACCAGCTCTACCACGGAGTTGCTGTTCTTAAAGGTTGTCAACCCTAAGCACAAAAAATTAAAAATATGGATTTATGAAATAAAATTGTATTAAAAATTGCATACCTTTTCCCTCCATCAAAAGTTCCTGGCCGTGCGAGCCGACCAGAGTTTTGGAGAGGAATGGCGCGAAGTCGACCATGATTTCCCTCAGCAGAGGACACACAGAGCTGAGCGCAGTCTCCAGTTTCTGGGTGAGACTCGCCTCCCTTGAGGGTGTGGGCACTGGCAGGTTGTCAGTGTTGACCAGAGTCTTGATGGGCAACTCTTCAGGGCGCGCCGTCGAGGGCAGCATGGAGGCGTCAGGGTTGTGAGGCACCACCCGGACGACCGAAATTTCGGCTGTCAACTTGTCACCCCTCTCGCAAGGCTGCTCGACCAACTCACTGCTGTTGGAGTGTGAGAAGTTGTGCATGTTGTGGTGGTCCTCTCTGTTCAGGGTGTCACCATCCTCGTTCAGGTTGACGTCTGTCCAGCTCTCGTCCACCTGACCAATGAGCTCCGCATTCAGCTGCTGCGGAGGCGCGGTCAACTCGGTGGGACTTTGCTCGGGAATGTTGCAGTTTGTCTCCTCAGTTGTATCCACACTCTTAAATATTTAATTTTCTTTTAATTTTTTTTCTGGTGGAAATTATTAGATATTTAAAAAAAAAAGAGAAATTTATATATTTACACAAGTGGTTAATTAAACAGTTATTAACTAGCAAAAAGAGCACAAAAGTTAATCAGAGCTCCAGGCATACCTCGAACGGCTGAGATAAAGCACGAGGTCTCATTGGAGCATATCGCACGCTTTCTGCCAAGTCTACATCATAAGTGTGAGCAATGGGAGCAATGTGAGCAGATCCCGAACGCCCTCTAGCCTACAAGACCAATGCACCAAAGAGCGAGATTTATATGTTAGTTTTGCTCACGGATGCTTTTTTTAATTTGTTAAAACGCCAAAAATCATGCAAGATGCTTTTCGTTAAAATGAAAGACGAAACAATAGCCAATTATGTTAGTTGCAAGAAAAATAAATGAACAATTTTACCTTGATCGAAGAAGCCACTGACGAGTCATGATCAAGGACTGAGGAGTTGTTTTCGTCAACAACAATGACTTCGTATTCGCTGTCCTCGGCACAGTCCTCTCCATGGATTGCTCCTGAAATAATTTAATTTAAAAAATCATCCTCAAAATGTGTCTTTGTATTTGCTTGAAACAGCAAGATACATGCCGGAACAATTATCTCCAAAGAATAAAAAGGGAAATTGAAAAGCTATGAAACATTTTCAAAACAGTCCATGCAAAATAAAAATAAAATATATAGTTATAATTTTGTAAATTATTTTCATCAACTATCTAGTAGAGATAAACATGATAAACATTTTTTTATAAAGGGATTAAAAGATGCAGATTAAAATAATTATCTTTAAAAGATCTCAAGGCACACAATCACACGGTAACTGTAATATTGTTTGTTTTTGATGACATTTAAATAATAATAAATCCCATGCTAACAATGAGATAGGGTATAAAAAGTCTGATTTTTACAAAGGGAAAAATTCTAATGAAGAAATTCAATGAAAAACGGTATGGAAATTGAACACCAAAATGCAAGAGAACGTTCCTATATATTGTCATGTCATAATGAGGAGGCAATTTGTTATTTTTACCTGTCGCGCGATTGTTGTTTCGGTAAGTGTGCCTCACGTGTGGGGGCAGTTTGGTATGATTTCGCAGGTATTGCCGAGGATGGGAACGGGAAGGAGGCGGTTGGTGAGGGTGAGGGGGCAAGAACTGAGGGTGGACGTGGTGGGACCACTGAGGGAAAAGGGGACGTCCCGATCGCCCGCCGCATTCTGTCGCACCAACGTGGACAACACCAAGTTAGATAGATAGAGCCATAATTATATATAAGGTAAAGCAAAAATCAAGAAAGTTTTGGACTAGTGATTGTAGCAGCTTTCGACTGTTTCTCTTTAAATCTACTATTAAATGCAGATGAAATGTCGGAAAAATGTCTGTGTAAATCTAGATTTCTAGTTAAAAAGTTAAAAGTGGTTAAATCGAATTAATGAATAGAGCTTTAAAGTCTAATTAGTATTAGAAGTGGAAAATTCAGTTTGATTTTAATTCCAAATCAAAACTCTATCTGTCATGTTTAGAATATTTTATATAAAAACAACCAGCATGCCATAATACATTTTCAAATTCTCAGTCAGCATGCCGTGTCAGATTCGACCACAATAAAATTAATTAAGGAGCAGGCAGAGTTTTGATTTAGAATCCAAATACCAAAGGGGTTGTTAATTGAAAGTGATATATTTCTACTTGATAACAAAATCACTTGCCTGGAGATGAATGCGAGTGCAGGTGGTGAGAACTGGTGCCGTTGCTGCGAAGCGGCGCTGGACTGGGTGTAGGTGGAGTTGTCGGAGGCTCCAAGATGTCTCTGTACTTGGAAACCATGAGCACCGAAATGAAGTACACAATTGCCAGTGACAAGAATTGCGCCTGCTTTGTCTCCTCCTGAAAATATTTTTCAAAATGAAGAGACGCATTCAAGATTTTACATGCACGATTATTTTAATAGTTTTAATGCTTCGGTCCTACCACGTCTCTGTATATGACGGCCCTCAGTCTGTTGACGTCCATATCCTGCAGCAACTTTTCTGGGTCTTTCACAGGACTACCCACCGAATTCATACTCTCAGCCATGCTCTTGAAGGCAGAAATCTGAAATAAAAGCATATTAACTTGCATTTTTTTAATTTAAAAAGTATCCAATAAGTACCTTTGGTGAATTTTGGCCACGGACAAGAGAGTGCAAGTGGGCCGTTTTGCTTCCGGCTGGCAGTACCGATGAAGAGGCGTTCTGCATTGTTGGTCGACTGCGCTCTTTGCACTCGAGACAATTTCTAACAGCGCAGGTACAAACCTAAAGAGAAAACAACATCAAAATTTATATGAAAATTTTTTCAGTTTCTAACCAGTCTGAGACATTGTCGAAGAATGCCACCGCTAGACATATTTTTCTCTGCCTCCAGCTCGCCAAAGTTCAATGAACTGGCAAAAATGAGTACATCAGCCATGTTCACAAGCCTCTGCAGAAAAGAAACAGCGACTTCGACAGGCATTCCTTGTGTCGGTTCAATAACATCAAGCTCGCTCTGAAATTTTTAAGATTGAAGTCGGTTAAAAATATTATTTAAAAATTTGTAATTTACATTAGGTGATGTTGCTGAAGCCAGGAGAGGCAGCAGTCCACCACAGGCGATAATGAGATTGTCAGCAAGCTGGGAAATCAAATGGACCGTGTTGACCACAAATATTGCATTTTCGCCACTGTTGACAAAATCTAGCACCGATTTGGTTGAGTGGCTGCAGCAAGAACAATGTTTTATTATAATAATTAGCCTTTTTATAAAATTTACCTCCTCCAAACTTGGATGTCAGTCTCAAGTGAAAAGAGAACATCAGACAACAGTCGCTGATGGATGTACGACCATTTGAATTCGGGAATGCGGAATGGGGGTCGAGTTGGCCCAGGACTAAACATGGTTCGGCCACCTTGCCCTTTGCTTGTGCCAGAGGACGCTGACTTTGAGCGCTTTGAATCTGGAATTGCAAATTTAATATAAAAAATAAAATCAGAAGTAAAAATTATAAACTATACCAAAATGGACAGGATCAACTTGGGTTGCAGTCGACGAACTGTGTGGGCGCTTCTGGGGCGACCGCTTGGCCGAAGCTTCCTTTTCAGGCTCTTCTACATTCAGAACAGAGACCTGTTCCTGTTCAGGTATTTCTTCATTTTGATTCTCTTCTGTTTCTTGCTCCTTCTGCAGAACTACTGATTTTGGTGGCAATACAAGATCACTATTTGGAGAGGGTAGACTGGGCACCACTGCATCTTGGTTATTACATGTATCACAGCTGATGGCATCATCAGGGTTTGGCACTTGGTTCAACTCAGGCAACGGTGTAGGCGATTCCTTCGGCGTCTCCACTTCCACTTCTACTGCAGGTGGCTCTGTGCTTTCTTTACTTTCATCAACCTCCTCCTCTGGCTCTTTCGGCTCAGGTTCCTCTTTCTCCTCAACCACTTCACTCTCCTTACTTTCAGCTGGAATTTCTTGCTTAGTTTCGCCAACAACTTCAGAAATTTCATCTAATTTTTCCTCTTTTTCATTGACCTTTGGTGAAGCTGGAGCATCTGCTTTTTTGTTTACCTCTTCAATTTCTTCTTTTTCTAAAATTTCTTCGATAGCTGCTTCTTTTTCTTTACTCTCAATGACTTCTGTTTCTTCTTTTGAAACGATCTCTTCTTCAACTGACTTTTCTGCTGTCTCTGCAATTGACTCTTCCACAGTTTCCAGTGGAGCCTCCTCTTCCCCCTTTTCACATTGTTCTTTTCCACTCTCTGCAATTGAATCAATAACCTCAGCGACTTCTTTGATTTCCTCCACCTTTTCTTCCGCATCATCTTTCACAGGAGAGGACGGCTCCTTTGAAGGGCTCTGGCTACTTGCAGGAGATTTGGACACAGAAGAGACACAATCTTCCACCTCCTCCCTTGACTTCTCTCCACTTCCATTCAAGGACTCGGTGCTTGTGCCGCCTCCAAGAGTCTCAGCCTCCTTCGGCGCCTCTTCAATTGGTGCCTCCTCGATAAGCGTCTCTCCTGCAGATTCAATAACATCCGATTTGACAAACTCGCTCGGACTACTTGTGTCCAAGGAGGCAACATTATTTTGCTTGTCCTCCAGAATTTTCATGGCCTGCTGGTACGTCGCAAGGTCTACAGTATTTTCACCAAGGTCGCAGTGGCACTCCTGTGAGGTGCTCTCCCTCTCCTTGGGCGACTCGTTATCAGTTTCGATTGCAGGCAACGATTCGTCAGGCAGTGACGGTGAGCTCTGATACCCATTCACTGCCTGCTGCTCCCAGCCTGAAATTGTGCTTATGGGACGCATTTGGCGCACCGCCGGGTCAGTGATGTTGTCCGACCTCTGCCTCTCGTAATGTTCGTACATTTGTGCAAACTGCAGCTTGAACTCCTCATAGGACACCTGGGAAAAATAAAATAAAATTAAAAACTTTGTTGAATTAATCATTTAAAAAAATCAACTGTACCTTGGAGTGCACAATGGCAAGTGTATCAACCCACACTCTCCAACCGCCGTACTCGTGTTTGATGGCGTGGTGCAGCAACATTCGGAACAGCGAATAGACCATGTCCGAAACTTTTTGCTCCTCGGTGTTCTTTGGGTGAATGTAAGCCATGGCAATCAACCATTCCTAGTTTTCAAAATGAATTGTTAAAAAAAAAAGTTTTTTTAAGTTTTGATTATTTTACCTGCCAGACAGACATTTGCAGAACAGTCCTTCGGTTCTCTCTGTTATTATTGCAGAGTAGGGTCATGTCTGATAGAAATAGTTTTTTCACATCCTGCAAGTTGTCTGTTTGTTTTGACTGGCGAATTAAAGTAGCAACCACTTTGAGGATCATTGGATTTTCAAGCCTGTAGTGCGATTCTGGCTCTGGATGGCGTGTGTAAAGAATTTGCTGGCTAATGTGCTCGGTCAGTATTTCGTAAAGTACATTGTAGGTTGGTAATGTTAAAGTCTCTTCATTAAGTAACAGTCTTTCAGCTAGCAAAGTGTACAAATTGTGTGGACTCATGACATCATATTTTCTCCTGCAAATAAAGCAAATATTTGAAGTGGAATAAATATTATTTTAAGTCATTTTTACTTGTGTGTGCTTCTGCTTAGGAAGAATCCAAGCAGTTTGAGGGACTGGAGGCGAATCAACTGGCTTTCAGAGGCGAGGAGTTTAAAGACTGTGCGCACCCCCTGCTTGACGTCAAAGGCAGGGACCATTGAAGAGGGGTGTTCCGACATTAGAGAAATCAACATTTGCAAAACGTCATGCAAATTTTCATCCTGCGAAAATAATTATCATTTCAATTTATTTAAAATTATGAAAAAAATCAATTACCTCATGCATGGTTGTAAGGTAGTTCAATATGCTCTGGAGTTCATCATCTTTGACTCCATTGCCAATCATAATGAGCTGCTTCAGAAACAGAAGGATGTAGGCTCGAATGGCCAGAATGTCTTTCTGCTGTGGTCGAGGACCATCTAGAACAACATTTTAAATTATTTAATAACTTTCTATTTCCATTTCTTTTAAATTTTATTTTATAATGTATTTAAATATCGATTGCTATTTCATTTGATAAATTATAAATATTATTAGTGTAATTTTAATATAAAAAAATTGTAAGGTATTATTTCCTTACCGAGACCTTTGGGGGTGATTCCGCTCTTGGCCCTGGGGTTGACGACCCAGTAGTAGTACTTTAAGGTGTGCATGGTTTGCAGGACGGTTGAGACGCGGCGCACATTGGAGTAGATCTGCGTGTCAGCGAGAAACTCGGTGGCCAAGTACGAGTAGAGTCGCGTCTGCACAGGCACCGGTGTGTAGATCCAAAGGGCAGGGTTGAAGAGCACGTGGTCCAGCAGCTGCCAGGTGAGGAACGAGAAGCAAAACAACTGCGTGGCAATAGCTTGCAAGTTTCTATTTGCTAGATTACCGCCGACTAACTACTAGTAATTTAACTGAACGTGTTGAAGTGCAAATCATTGAAATCAAATTTGGTTTTTGAACTCAGAGGTGAAGCGTTTTGGACGTGCACAATGTAATTGAACTATGGGACACCGCTGCGGGTGTAGATGGAAAGACTCACCTGTTTGAGCAGCAACTCACTGTGCCCCGAGAGGCAGGTGACCAAGTGCTTGGTCAGCGCAAGGAACGAGCTCAGCACCTCGTTGGTCAGATGCTCCCGAGAGGCTTTCTGAAGCATGAAACTGATCACAAGAAAGCCGCGGTTCTGGATCATGTGCTGCTGGACGGTCTGAGACGTCTCCACCAAGTGACATATGAAGCCGAGGAGTTTTGCACTGAAATTGGCAAAGAAATTATTTTCAAAAAAAAAAGATCAAAATTTTGAATTATTTTTTTTTACAGAAAACATTCTCTAGATTAAATAAAACACCCCTTTGATTTGTAATGTGTTAAAATCTTGAAAAAGTTTTTGCGCTAAAATAATTCATTTTATTTCAATTAAAATTTTCTAGTCAAGATATAAATCCTCTGACTCCAGAGATTAATTATCAGTGTTCTCAATGCTTAATGGGCGTGTCAAAAGTTTTTGACAAGCTCATCATTTAGTCAATTCATGTAAAATCTGCATGTGTCTCACCACAAATTAGGGTCTTTCTTGCATTCAGCAGCGTTGGGCCCGCCGTCGTAAGGCAAATCAAGCTGCGAGAAGAGCGGAAATAATACTTGAATGCCGCCTATAGAGTTGAGGGTGCTGTGAATGGAATGTGTGACGACCGCCTTGACATCCTGGTAATGACGATTCATTAGCAAAGTGATTCGGCTGCTCTCAAAGAAAATTGCCGTGGCAACCACGTACGTACCTGCAGCATGAGGGCGTGCGGTGTGTGAACAAAATAAGCCTGGTTGCCCTTTGGCGCCGACTGCAGGCATAGCTGACTGTCTGTCGCCACGGGGTTGTACATGAAAACGATTGCGCTTGATAGCTTGCCGTCGTACAGAACCTGCAGCGAGGAGGCAATCAGATGGATCTTTTGATTGAATGGTGAAAGCGCTTGCTCGCTAAGTGTGACTCTTGTCAAAGAGTCAAACAGCTTTTGTGCTCGCAGACACATTGTGTAGTACAGAATATAACTTGGCAGGCAATATATTGATGAAAGGAGATCAAATATTTGATATAAAAAAAATCAGAAAGATGCATTAAAATGAAATTTAAATTAAAACAAAAAAATAAAAAATTCAAAAGTATATTTAAACTAAATGATTTTTTTTTATAAATTGCGATGGTTTGAAAGAGGAAAAAATCAGAAAAAACATTCTGCGAATATTTACCAGACAGAAGAACGCCTTTGAAAACTACAAGCTAGATAACAAATGATAAAAACAAAATAAAACAAAAATCTTACAGTGAAAAGGTTGAACTCAGGAGTCATGCTTGCAGGACTATCTACTGAACTCTCATCGTCCAAACTCACCCTTTTGTGATTGTCTGGGAGGTTTAAATAGCACTCATTGTCAAACCTGAACTGACTCTGTACAGATAAAATTAAAATCAATTAAGTGTTATTTTTTATCCAAAAAAAGTTTTCTAACTTTATAGCCGGGTCCAAGTCGGTGCATAGCGCACACCTGGTGTGTGGTCAGAGCCTCCCCAAACAGGTAGATGGCCGACATTTGGCCGCAAAACACGCGCTCCTCGTCCAGTTCTGGCGTGGCCCCGATGTAGCACTTGTCGAACGGCTGCAAAATCAGTCAGCGGATGTGCCTTTTTAACGAATCAAAAATCAACTCACCTCGTTAGTGGACACGAACCAGGCCATTTCAGTGCTCGACGCCAACTGGCCATTCACGAAACACTTGATTTCGCTCTTTGTCCACCGGTTGTAAATGTACACGACGGCGATCATGTACCACTGCAATCACCATAACTGTTGCGTTATTTGCTCACAGACAGAGCCAAAGGGTGTTTAAATGGTAATACAGTGAAATATTCCATTCAACCTGATCATTCAATTCAAAGCTGAATAAAGGCCATTGTGCAATAAAAATGAAATATTTAACAATGAAATTTAATCCAATTTTTCGACAATGGCGCACCATGAATATTTTTGTAATGCTAAAACGTGATAATATTCAGTTTTGTATAAAAATGTTTTGGCAAGTGAAACAAAAAGGGACAGCTCTTTTGGATGCTTTGAGCATAATTTTCAAGTTGAAAATTTCCACGTAGCTTTAATATAGCACAAAGGACGCTTATTGTCTAAAGCGCACAAAGGGGTCATCACAGTGTGAAATTCTCACCTTCCTGGGTTGGAACTCGTACTTGACGCAGTGCTGGAAGCCCTTGCCCTTTACTTTCATCGAGGTGAGCACTAAACAGTTGCCTACAAAGTGAGCCGAGTATCCGACGCCTTTGCTGTTTTTAAAGCTGCAAAAAAATAAAACGCAAAAAATAAAACCGACACGCGTAACTAGGGGTGTTTTTTATACACACCAGTAGAGGTATGGTTTCTCCCTCTCGATGTTGACCGAGTTGATTGGATCGAGTCTGAACCAAGTGGTAAAGGTGAAACCGTTCTCATAAGGCCACCGCGCTAGAGGGGGAAGGACGACCGCCTGCGATTCCAAGACCGATTAGTTTGCAGACGGAAAAAGGGCCAAGACGGAAGTGAGCTTACCGATCCTTTGCGGCCAGGGAAACTGAAAAACACGTCGGGCCCCGTTCGGTGCGGCATCTGGCGCAGCACGTTGAGCAGCTTGGCGGAATGTCGTGGCTGAATTAAGCAATTAAATTCAATTAAAATGAGCAACCAATTATAAAATAAAACCTTTTAAACTAATTTGATTAAGAATAAAATAAACAGCCATAAATTTTTATTAAAAATTATAAAATAAATAAATTAAATAAAGTATTTTTTTATATATTAATAATTCTGCAGGTATAAGTGTGAAAAAATGTTTCCTTGGACAAAATAATTTGTTCTCGCAATAAACAGTTAATTTTCCTTTGCAACAATGATTAAACAGATTAAATTAGGAGAAAGTTTTTTCCGTCTTTAATTGAAGTCTCACCCATTTGCCGTTCACAGCCTTCATGGCGCCAAACAGCAGTTTGAGCTCTTTCACGGTGATGCTGTAGCTGGCCAAAACGCCGAGCATTTCGATCAGCAGATCTGCAACGAGCAAACGCGCACTTTGTTAGTTAAAACAACAACGTCACAGTGGGTTTTCGTGTTAATTGGATTGGCAGTAGAGGGAACCGCCACTCCACCCAGGAGTTCAATTTGCATCAACTAAAACTAACAACAGAGGCCGACCGAGCTAATAACATTTGTCCAATTTCCTATTGCTACAGGTGAATTCCATCCCAAAATTAATCAAACGCTGTATCAAATGATCAAATGATGTATTTGCTTGTATTTGATACCAATTTGGCAATCACAAATAAATATCAATTACAAGGAATTCAAATTATAATTTGAATTTAATTGATCAAAATGTTAGACGAAACTGCAAAATTGATTTTGAACAAAAATTGAGATTTAAATATGATTGATCCATTTTTTTTTAAATTGTAAGTGCCCTTTCAATACGATTTAATCTTTTTATGCAGGACATTTTCTTTATAATTTTATAAAACTTATATTATTTATTTGCAGTAATTGCATAACAACTGTGATTTTGCCTTGAGCACATGTTCATGGCGGCTTGATTGGTGTTTGCCCAAAAATCTCATCCCAAAGCAAATAACTGTCTGGGCAGATTCGGTTGCTATAATTGGCAAAACCAAGAGGCTCGGACCGCAAGTGCGGGCGGAATGACAGAGGGCAGCCGATTGTAATTCGTGTGTTGCCAAATAGTGGGCGGCGGGCTGCTCTTATCTCGGGCGAAAGGGCACGAGGGGAAATAAATCTAATTAAAGGCCGGCCTGTTGATTGCAATACAAGTGTTGATAACAATCGGCCCGCCACTCGCTCATTCTCTCTCTCGCCAAAGCTCTCAAGGGGTTTGCCTGCGAGATTGGAAAGCAGCGGGAGAGCTCTCGGCCGATTGTTGCACATTCCTGCTTCAAAGTTCATCTAAAAGGCGAGTAAAAGAAACTGGGGAAATTCTTTCTGGGCGAACGAAACGCCACTCGGGTACTAATTTCGACTTCAGCTGATTGGAAATCGATTGGAGGGCCAAAAAAGGTGGCCGAATCTGACCAAAATAAAACTTTTTGTAGGGTGGGGAATTTGTATATAATTTTATGGAAATTAGGAATTTCAAGTATTGACAAGTTGGAATTAAAATCAGGTCTATTATCTGATTTTCACTTTAGCCAATTTGTACAATGGTTGATTTAAAAATTTCTCTCGCTTGGGAATTTTGAATTTTATGTTTTATGCTATAGGTTTTTATTTTTGGTGGTGGTAAAAGAAGTAAGGGAAGGAAAAAAATTATATTTACGTTGAAACCGATAAAAAGATATATTAAATAATTTGATTATTTAACATTTGACTCAAGTTTTTGTGTGTTTAGAAGGCAAAATAATTGAGGTTTCGCATAAAATTATTTAATGCGGCATAACTTGCATAACAATGGATGAAAATTAAGCATGCACGCCTTCTGGCGCCTTTGATGTAATTATCCCAAGCGGAAGAGGCACACAATTGTTTCTGCCCGTGTCAGTCGGCGCGCCAAGTTAGTTAGTTTGGCGCTTTTTGCCCGCAACCGTCGGGTTCACCGCATGCACCCGACCGCCTAACGGTCGGCGAAAACAAGCACGGCTCTCCCTCGCTCGCCATTTTTCCTGAATAAAAAAAAAGAGAATGTGTACCTGCGACCACGGTTTCGGCACGACACAGCCGGATCAGCACGTGCTCGATTAGCCCGACATCTGTGCACGCCTGCAGGTTGCGGACGCTCTTGCGCAGGATGGCGATGAACACGCTCCATATCTCCGCCTGAAACACAAAGAGAGACCGGCATGAGAACTTCTTCTCCCTGAATATACATAAATTTTCAAAGTGGCAAGTTGCATATATTAATCAAATTTCCCGCCCGAGTTTGCCGACCGAGTTTATTTCCCTGCACAAATATTTGCACTCGCGTTTCAATTATTACGCCGGCGCCTCTTGATGAGCTCGGCCGGCAAGTTTTACTTTGGCCGCGCTGTTTTGACGACGTTCTCAATTAGCATTAAAACGGAAAGCGTGTTCCGTCACGCTGTAATTGAGTTAGCCTGAAATGATGAAGAAGGGATGAGTGGCTCAAAATTTGCAAATATAATAGCTGGAGCTAATTGCAACTTTCTTTAAAAAACTTAAGAATGTAATATTTTCAAAAGTTTCTAGAATCTCCTGAACCACATTTACAGTGACGGCATTATTAATCTTAATTTAAATATTTTATTTACATATTCCTTAAAATCAAAGGTAGTGTTTATAAGAACTAGCAAAATTACAAATTTAGAAAAATGCTGCTACATATTTTTATGTTAAATTTATAAGGTTACGATTTTATAAGTTAGACACTTTCCAACAAAATAATATTCATGAATTTGCCTAATTACTTAGGTATCTAGTATATTATCTAGAAGTTTTCACTGAGGATATTAACCAAAATTTTTTTTATGAATCTTCTATTATATCTGTTGTGTATTTTCCTCTAGAATAGAGATTTGTATAATTTTTTTTATTAATTTCCAAGTCAACTTTCAAGTGCCACTGCCACCAATCATGCACGAATGGCAATTACCATAAATTTGAAAGGGTAAACTTGGAAAGGGTGCAAAACGCGCACATCTTATACGAAGTATAAAGTCAAGCGTGTTTGCAAACTCCATAAATTTCTACTCGGCGCAAAAACTTTGGCCGCCGGAACACCGGTTGATTTCATAAATCGCCGCGAAAGTTGGCCAGCGCGCTCAGCGGGACCGAATAAAATAATCCGACGCGACCGAAATCACTCTAGTTAATTAAGTCGGCGCCAGCGGCCGAGAGTGAAATCCGATTGAGCTGCAAAAGAAAGAGCGGCGGCTCGGGGAGATGCGACCGGCGCGCGAATTTGATGCCTGGTCATGCCCCCCAAGATTTGCGCACTAATGGTCCCGGCTTACAACCCTCTTTACTACAAAAAAGAAAGAAAAAGGGTAGCGAAGAAAAGAATCTCTTTCTCTTAGCTCGGCGAGGGGAAAAATTAGAACGGAATTGCCGAAAGAGATGAAGAAATAAAAGTTGCTGCGAGCGATTTTTGGCCCTCGATTTCACTGCGTTAGTTCGCAGCAGATGATATTTTATTAGCAGAGGTGTCGGAACAAAAGGGCTGATGAACGAGCGAGCCGTCGATTACGTGATGGAATAGTTTTTGATGACCGGCCGGAAACAAAAGGAAAAGTTGCTCGGGAAATAAAAGGGTGCGAATTTTGGGCCGCAGCCGGTCTTCCTGCTCGCTCGGGTCACGCACTATTGACAGCCCGGCGATCAATAATTGTTGCGAACTTGCGATGTTATGTCACTCCTTGCAGCCGAGCTTGGAGGTGATGCCATTTGTTGATGAAAAGAGCACCACGGATTTCGGGCTCATTTTCCGCCAAATGAAGTAATGGATCGATCCTCCAACGCACCCCGGGAGGGAAACATTATTTCGCCCAAACTCTCATCGGTAGTAGTTTTCGGAGAAGTTCTACAAGCGAAAGTTGGTTTCGACACACAAAAGTTTTTCCATTGATGCAAGAAGGCACACAACAGATGTAAATTATTCATATCAACTTATAAACACGCTCATATGACATAAAAATAAAATTAAAATAAATATTGCAGGAGAATTGTTTGACGACGTAAATTTTTCCAAGGAAGTTTAAATTTTAAATATATTATTTGAAAATCTTAAATTTTTATTCACTTTATTCCCTTATTTGAATCATATTTCACTATTATTTGATATTTTCCCCTGAATTTTGATTGACTATGTAACTATTTTTTTTTCCAATTCTCACTATTTTGTAAATACACAAATGGAAGACGGTTTTATGACAAGTTTTACAGTTACTAATCGAAAATCTATTTGAATATCTTGTAATTTTTCTTGGTATTTGATTTTAAAAATTATTTTGATTACTGTAATTTAATTAAGAAATTAAAAAAATTAAGCAATTAATTTCTTTATTTTCAACACACCCAGAACACAAGTCGAAAAAACATAGTGCACAATTTTTTTTCAATCTAAATGTATTTATCATCGTCGATGTGAAATTGCCTTTCAAAGTTGTGAGATGGGCAAAATATTTGATACGCTCAGCAGCTCAACACCACTAACGGATTTTCGTTTGTAAGCGACGGAGATAGAAATCGAGTCGCTTACTCGCTTTCTCAGCTTGGTGGGTGGCGCGAAAAGCGTATATTAAAAAATGTTTCAAATTTTTTGCCTCGAGATATCTTTTTCTGCTACACTGGCTTGGAATGCTGGAAGACGGAGAGGCTGTGCCAGCGAGTGGATAAAAACTGCGAATGGGAAAAAGATGCGAGAGAGGCGAAGAAGGCGCTTGTTATTGCCATTTTTGTGGTGCCGCCCGCACTACCAGAGAATAAAAGAGGAAATTTTATATACGACGACGACGGGAAAGGGCGAAATCAATGGATCTGTTTTGTAAACGATTGTCGAAGCAATAAGACGAGTATGAGGAATTTGATGGTGTCAAAAAGTGCCATTTATGTAATAGGGTGTGGATTGAGATCTTCAAGTGATAAGCGATTTCATGTTTATATGCAAACAATTGTGAGTTGTGAGAGAAGATTTCAATTTTAAACGTTTTTTAAAATTTTTAATTCTAATTTTAGTCAATTTTATATGCAAATTAATTAGATTTAATTAATTATTAAATACATTCTTATTTCTTATTAATAAGATAATTATCAAAATCATAATAATATTAAGACATTTAAAAGTTAAGAAATTTGGGTAAATTTTTGGTTTTTATATTTATGTATTAACTTCATTATTTCTTAACTTTGTGCTATATTTTAAGGGAAATTTTTTAAGGTACAAGACTAAATTTATAACTGCGCATGGACTTTTGTTTGCACAAATAGCACAGAGTTGATAAAACTAAAAGGGCCGCAAGGAATTTCTCACTGAGTCGGAGCTAATCAGAGACCGTGCCTGCCGCAGCATTGAATTCCCACGGCCTCATTAATTATTTGCGAGATATGCTCGCGGCCGACACTCGACGTGTTCATCAGTATGCGTGATTAACATCGGCCGGGGGACGTGTTTGCAGCGTCCTATGCAAATCGCTCGCTGCTGCACTACATGTAGGCCACGCGGCGATTATGCATGCTGCACGCTCGCTTGTTTAGCCAAACCAGAGTTCCGCTCGTATTTCGCGCGCCATACAAATTTCGCTCGTAAAAAAGGCTGAGAGCAAAAGGGCCGTAAAATTCCCCACGTCCTGTTGAACGAAGCAAAGGGCAAAGGTGCCGAAAAGGGAAAAAATGGAAATGCTGATATAAAGGCCCGGGCCGAATCCGGGAATATTTCACGCGCCGTGCAACACAATTTGCCGCTTATCGGCTGTTGCAGGCAATAAATATGCCAAATATGCCCCCGACAGCACGCGAGGTGTGACTTTCCAAGCCGGCGACGTCCTGCCGTCGGGCTGATGGATTCAGACTACCTGCGCCGTTTGCACAAACATTCTTGCAGCATGTATAGGGAACCGATCGGGAAATCAATTTCCGCACACGGTGATTTTCACATTTTTCCATAAGCTTACATGGACGCAACAGAAAGGTGACTTGCCATTTTCTTTCAGTGGAAAAAGCATCCACGCTGAGGATGATTTTCCATCATTTTTCAGGCTGATCATAAATGCGATCATTAATAAAAATATTCTAAGAAACATGTTAACAATCGATTGTGATGATTTCCAGAAAAATTTATGTCCTGAACATAAAAATTACACCAGAGAAAGAGAATAAAGTAAGAATGGTAAATATAAACACAATTTCAACTAAATATAGGTGATCACCTTTTCCACTTCTGAACCAAAATACACTAGAAAAGACGAGATAAATATTTTTTTGCAAAATAATTTCACTATATTATCACCTAAAATCACAAAATTTACACTTATTTGAATCTATAACAACCTATTTTCACCTTCAACAGTATTTTGGAGTAAAAAATTAAATAAATAAATAAATCATCTAAAAGTAAAACATTTTCATGCAAAATATATTCCCCATTTTAGTTGAAAAAATTACCTTTTTTTAGTGTACACTTTACAATTTTTCCGGCATATCAGATAATGATAATTAAATTTTAAAGCCAATGGAAACATTTTTTTAAAATTATTTACACGACTTTATTTTCATCAAAATTTTCCATTTTCAATGATGATCAGAATTTTGGCTTCCGCCTCTTCTTTGAGTGCATAAGTTTTCGCGGCGAAAAGTTTGCAGTCGTTGAGTGAGTGAGTGAAAGTGGAGGTGAAGAGATAAAAAATCTCCATCCCACCCGTTCCGGATGGCAAAAAAGGAAAGGGTCGGCTGCGAAAGGGCGTCGAAATCAAGATGGTTCCTTCCGTTCGTTGCTCGGCGGGTGCGACGGAATGCGTGATTAAAATGTAATTGAATCCGCCGCCGAGCGCCGAGCCAAGTTTTTAATTAAATTTGACGCGACTCGCTGCATTAACTAAATTAAAGTACACCCGCTGCCGCAACTGCCGTGCACGCCGCTTTTGACGATTCGCGTGCAGGGCAGGTGTGTGTGCGAAACTCTCGGGAGTCGGAAAGCTCGGGACGGCTGCTCATCTTTTGTGTGCGATTCCGGAAGACAAAAGCGGCCGTGTTTATTTTTCATTTGACCCTCTCTCGTTCCGCCGGCGCCGTAATTCATAGAGTCGAAACGATAACAATGCCTTCTCTCTGCGGAATTAATATTTCTCCATTCGCCCCCGTCGAAA